GAAGGGGGTATGAATGGATGGATGAACCGACAGATGGGATGGATGGGTGGATGGATGGGATGGATGATGGATGGGATGGATGAATGGATGGATAGAGGGATGGACGTATGAATGAATGCGATGAATGGATGGGATGAATGGATGAATGGATGGATTAACAAATGTGATAGATGGACTGATGGGATGTGATCGATGGATGGAGGAACAGGAGGATGAGTGGATGGATAGAGGAATGAAAGGAAAAAGATGGATGGAGGAATGGATGTTTGTATCAAATTAACTTCTCTTGATGGACAAATCAATACAAATATATACTGAACAAACAAACAAAAACGAGGAATAAACAAAACAAAAAAGATATATAAACAAACAAACGAATCCAAATAAAGAAGGAATGAAGTGGGAAAAAAACAAAACAAATTCAGTTGAAAAAGTTACAAAAAATAATTAAAAAAAAAGAAAAATTGAAGTTTATCCTACCTTCTCCAAGGCACACTTTTTTATCACACGATCATATCTTTCCTTGTCGTATTCTTGATCAAACAAGATATTCTCCTTTACAGTTCCCGAGAAGATCCAGGATTGCTGTGATGCATAGCTGATATTCCCCTGTACGTTTACTACACCGTGTGACACTTGTAACTCACCAAGAAGAGCCATCAGTAGCGAAGACTGTAGTATAAATAAACAGAAGTAAGTAAACTAACACCAAAACCATTCTTATGGGAAGCCATTTCAATGCTACAACATATTGTACCGTGTACGTGCTTGTAAGTCAGTACCGTACGTTTCCCACTCGTACTATTAGAGCAGTTTTCGTTTGACTGTGAAAAGCTCACGACACGAACACGGTCGTGAGACGGCAAGGCGTACGCCAGACCAATCACTTTGCGCGAGAATTTACTCTCCATCCAATCAAATACCCGGAACACAGCATAAACACGACGCGGACACGGTCACGCCAAGATCACGGCACTTTTAGTCCAATCATATTGCGCGTTAAAAAAAAAAAATCAAAATTCTAAAAACCAACGGTTAAGGCACCTCCCGCTTACGACACTGCGCTTTTCACAACCATGCGAAAACTGCTCTACCATTCTCTTGGGAAGCCATTTCAATGCTACAACATACTGTACCGTGCACGTGCCGTACGTTTTTTCCCATTTAAAAGATAAACATTCTTATGGGAAGCCATTTCATAGTTACTGCATGTCGTCCCGTGTACAGTACGTGCTGTAAGTCGGTACTGTATATTTCCCACTCATACGATTACAATTCTCTAGAAAAGCCATTTCAATGTTACAACATACTGTACCGTGCACGTGCTGTACGTCGTTTGCCATTTAAAAGGTTAACATTCTTGTAGAAAGCCATTTCATAGTTAATGCCTGTTTTACCGTGTACAGTAGTTGCTGTAAGTCAGTACGCTATATTTCCCACTCATACGATAATAACCGTTCCAATTTGATGTTACTACAGTAGAATAATCATTATTTATTCCTATCTATTGATTTAAGATATTTTTTTACTTACTTTCCCTGCCCCAACAGGACCGACGATCATCAGTAATTCACCCTAGGAAATATAATTTATGTTTAGCAAACGAAGAGAGTTCAAATCTAAAGCAACTATAGCAAAATAGTTTTTTGAACGAGTATGACTTACCGGAGTGACTTTAAAACTAATATCTGTCAAAGTTTGCGTGTTCAGGCTCTAAAGGAAAAAAAAAACAGTTTTAACTCCAAATAAAAAAGAGTTTAAATAGCCAAAAAAGGGACGTCGGTAACCCCGAATTCAACCCCTTGCTTTTATCAGGTATCTTTTCTTATTGTCTTCAAGTTTGCACTTTTTCGAAAACAACACAAAATGCAGGAATTCCTTAGAGAAAAAAACATTTCCTCACCTCATTCCACTTTGCAGAGATTTTTTCCACTTCGACAACAGGTTTCAGCGAGGTTGTTGAGCTAGTCTTCGTACTTCTGTTATTAGACATCATCTTTTTGTCTTCCATTTGTAGGAAATTCTATTTATAAACAACAAAATATTGTTAAAATTTGGGCTATTAAATAGAAAAGAAAAACTAGCAGGCGGTTAGATTTGAAGCAATCGCCAGAGTTCCGGCGGCTAGGTCCATATTCTGAAAGCACTGCAACAACAACAGCAGCGGCAATATCAACAATAGCAACAACAAATAGAGCAGCAACAACAGCAACAACAACAGCAGCAACGACAACAGCAACAACAACAGCAACAACAACGACAACAACGATAGCAACAATAAGTAATATATACAGTATGAGTGGCCGTGTTGTATCAGATATACAACCACAAGGTGTAGCCGAGTGATTGTATATCTGATACAACACGGACACGAATACTGCATATGACTTATCAAACGTCTAGGTTAGTTCCTTTGTGTTTCACTAAAATTTTCAAAATTAAAGTGAATTTGGCCAAGAAAATCCAACTTAAAGTTTATGCAAATGAACACAGTTTTGTATCAGATTTACAACACTCTTCACGGTCGTGATTTCTGTTGTGTTTTCCTCATGTATTATTAATGAAT